TATCTTAATTTATATCTCTTAAAATTGGTGTTAATAACATGATTTCAATTTTTCACTTATCTAAATATTTTTTACAAATTTTTTAAATTATTTCTAAGAATAACTATACTAGACGACTTTCAACTAAGTCGTCCAGACGACTTAGTTGAAAGTCGTTTGGATAGAATAGTTACGGGGGTTAGAAAGGTAAAAAAAATGAGTTTTTTGTTTGTTCACAAGGGGCTGGTTGTAATTTTAATAGCTTGTTAGGTTACTTTTGCATTTAATTCATGTTTGAGTTTACTTTTGCATTTGAAACCAAGTTTTGAGTCATATTTGGCAAATTTCCCTATTATGAAACCAAATATAGAGATGGGTTATAAACTTCATTCTCGTTGAGTAATGGTCTGAAATGTTTTTTACTTTTTTTTTCTTTTGGATTCCACCCCTAAATTTTGTATCTATTCCTTTTTCATAGATTTTCTTTCTAATTTTAGTATATTTACTTGTATAGTTTTTTCTAAGATGTCGCCCATCATATTTTGTCATTTATGTAGCTTAATTATTTACATTTCGATTTCTAATACTGCAATCTATATTTCTGTTATAGAATTTTTAGTATTGAAGTTAATATTAGCTCATTTGTGTAAATTTTATATTAGACATTTAACAGTTTTTAAAAATAAATTACGTTAAGAATAAATTGTTATTGATTAAAATTGTGAACAGTCTATTTTAAATTTTTATAGTGTCAATGTTGATATAAAACTATTTAATTATATATATGATTAGAATCCTTTATTTTAATTAACCATATATGATTAGAATACTTATTTCATTTTATATATTAAGATTATAAATTAAATTTATTAAGGGTAAATTTAACTGTCCTAATCGTTTGGTCTCTCAGAAATATGTATCAAATCAGATAGTTAGGCACTCTTCGTGTCACTTTCCTCGCATTGTCAACCAGCAGATCTTTATGGAATCACTCGGGACATCGAGATTTTATCCTCATCCTTTACTGTTTCTTTCTTTGTTTTCATTTCATGCGCTCTAGATTTTATAGTTGATTTGTTAGCGAAAGCAGCCTTGTATTCAAAGTATTCTACCCCATGTATAAAAGGAATGTAAGTATTTAACAATAAAGTGGGAAATACATACGTATATCAAGATCCATAGCATCCAAATATTTATTTTTACTGATCGTTCTTCTCAGTATGTGCTACTGGCGAACTATGTTGAAGATTCAACGGCAACAATTAGGAAACCAGGTATTAGCACATGTAAAAAACTCTACATCGCCAAAATTAAGTTATTAAGCAAAAATAAAAGAAAAAATTATTTAGACAAATTAATGTAAAATATTCAAATTATAAATTATATGCTTTCTAATAAAAAATTATAAAGTTATGTGAAAAAATCAAATTTATTAAAGAAATTTAGTCATACGTTTTGAAAGAGCGTATCATATTTAGTTTAAGAATTAAAGAAAAGGTTTTTCAAACCGAAATACTAATTTTTTTATCCACACTCATGCAGCTAAACTTGATCATATTATCATATTAAATATATATATATATATATATATATATATATATATATATATATATATATATATATATCTATTTGTATGTAACTCCACAGAGACGAATCAAGCAACACAAATGAATGTACAAGTCTTAAGTTTGCAAAATATTTGTTTAGTAAATGGATTATTGAAAGACAGTTAAGTTATACTGCAGTGACTATGGCTGGTTTGAAAGGATGGTCAGGAAATGAAAAATTCTCAGCACTGAAAATAAAGAAAATTGTATGTATTCTTTGCATGCATAAATGAAGACATTGATCTGGGTGATGCGAAATATAATACAAATACCGATTGCTAATATTTTAGGATGGACTGCAAGAATTTATTATCAATGATACATGATCCAAAAGATTAGCCGAGTTTCTCCACAGAGCTAAGAAAGTTATTTCATTAAAGAGAAAATTTTCAGATTTTAAAAACTCTTACATCTCTCAAAACTGGACAGCTAATGATGATTTAATTAAGACTGATCATAATTTTTATTTTCAATTATCTTTTGTTTTTTTTTATAACACTGATAATAGTTCGAGCCGACATGGTTTCATAACATACAAAGAAAGAAACATGAAAAATAAATGTGTCAATAGACACCAATAGAGAAAAGAAAGGGAAATCTCACTAAAGCTTTCTACACTTGAGCCTCCAAAGCAAGTAGATGATGAAGCCAAACTGGACCTCCTTGAGCGATATAAGATTGGTGGCGTGAATCACGAGTGACACTCACCGCAATTGATGTTGCTGACTCATTGCGGACGGAACGGACATGGTCTACACTCCAAAAATCTATCCGTGCGAGTAGAAATCTGATATTGTGGCATATATGGCTGAAGTTATTGTTGTTATCTGGATTTGTGATAACTCCATGAAGGCTTTCAGACGCTGTTTTGAAGATAATATTTGAGAAACGAAGATTATGCATACATTCCACCGCCCAAAAAAGAGTCCATAACTCTGCTTCAACTACTGTACGCATGCACGAGTAAGATCGACGACTATGCATGATTGTAGACCCATGTTCATCACGTAGAATCCATGAAGTACCAAAAAGATGGCTCGAATTTAAAGATGACAATTCTTTTGTTAGTTATTTAATTTTGGTCTGAATTCTTAGATCACTTCAAACTTGAATAATAGAATAATATTTTGATATCATATATATACATATATGTGTGTGTTTGTGTGTGTGACTATCCTTAAAGTCATGGTAGGATAATCAGAACTTTGTTGATTGGCTCCCGAAAGTGAAGATTTTAAGATTATAGGGAAACTGTGAAGATTGTCAATCTATAAAGTCACATAAGCTACAATTTGACAATTTCAACACAAGATTCAATGCTTTGGGGAGGATTCATTGGGTTTTATTGCTCCAACGAGAACATATCCTCATATTCTGAGGTTTTTTTTTTTTTTTGTAAAAATATTCTGAGGTTTTCTACATTTCTTATTCGTTTATGATGTCTCAATCATAGTACACCTGGAAATCATTTGTAACGAATAGCCAGTCAGACATATCCAAATTGTAAAAAAAAACAATACTATAATGTAGTTAGGTTGTAAGATCAAGTATCTAAGAAAGATAATGAAAGTGAATTTATTTTAAATTATGGATCTTTTTATCGAGAGCATATCAAAACCGAGACGATATCTAGAAGATTAGCATTGTCCTTGGGCAAAGATGACACATAAATAAAGAAATTATTCTTTATACCAAAGAAATTATTCTTTATACCACCTAGTGATGGGTTTTTTGTATTTTGATGAACAAAGCGTTTGCATTGAACTTGCAATTGATTTTTTTCAGTGTTAAAACTAAAAATAAAGAAATTATCTAAATTTTTATTGGTCAGAAAAAAGACATCAAGAAGGAATTTTACATATCCATTTTTTTGTCCTTAGCTGATTTCTCTCTATTTTAACTGCTTTTGTATCAGACGTGTTTGTATAGTGTTATTTTTTCAGAGCACCAGAAAAACTTTTGAAAGTACTGTACCATCAAGTATTCTGAAATTCTACTGTGATAATCCATCCCGTCAAAACTTACAACTTTATATCGCATCAATTTTAACCCTTCATCGTGGGAGAAAACTATCTTTACATTCACGGATAGGTTATTGATACAATTGATGTTACTCAAACTCCAGACCTCATCCTTTAACAATTTTCTACCAACTAAATTATCACCAATTGAGCTGCAATTCATTTAGTGACAATTTGTCTTGTGAAAGATTATCAAAGAGTGAGGTATTGGGTTCGAGGAACGCCAAACGCACCAATAACTTACCAATGGATGTGGAGGCAGTTTTTTCTCACGGTAAGGGGTTATCGGTGCGTAGCAGCGCTGTGAATCTGGATCCGCAGGATGGGGTATCATAAAAAGTCGACTTTTGAGACAATCAATCCTGTGGAAACTTACAGCGTTGTAGTGCAACAACCCTAACCTATCATCGTAAAAGGAAACTGTTTCCACCGAACAATTGGTGACAACTTATCTTATGGAAAATTGTTAAAGAGTGAGGTCTCGAATTCGAGTAACGTAAACCGTATCAATAACCTATCCATGTAAAAACAGTTTTCTCCAATGATGAAGAGTCAGGATCAGTAAGCTACAGCGATGTAGGATAAGTTGTCATCTACATTTTTGAGATTTTCGCATGAGATTTTTCTTCTAGTGCGTGGATCCTCAAACAAACAAAAAATTCAAGCCATACTAATTTTAGACTAAATTTATGTCTCTTATAGGTTAATGATATTGAAAATCTCGAAAATTTTCTATATTCTATGATCATATACATAACCTTGTTAGCCACTCCACCGTTTGATCTCATATCTCTGGTTTTCAATCTCAATTGGTCTCCTAACATAATATCATCTATAGTCCTACGTAAGTCGAGGTTTATTTAGAATTCATTGTCACAGAAAAGAAAATAATTGAAATCAAAATCATGACCAGTACAGAACATGAGACATAAGAAAGTTGAATCTATTTTCTTCTTTTCCTCCTAGAATATTCCAACGTGGAGGGTGTTTCGTTTCCTGTATGCAAAACGTTTTGTATATTTTTTTTAAATTTAAAAGTTGCATTAACAAAAAGTACTGTTTAAAGACCGAGCTGTCTCTTTTTTTAAAATAGACAAGTAATGCATATAATTTTTTTGCGCGTAATGAAAAGTGACTGACCTGCGGCTATAAATACTGGAATAGATAGCATCTCCTAATATATCAAGTAAAATCCTTTGTTTTCCAAATCCCCTATCTAGGTCCGTCTTGAAACTAATCACTCTAATCTCTTTATTTTTTCAAATAAAATATTATATCAGCGACTATATTTCAATTTCGAACCCATTAACGTATGTTTTTGGTAAAGTTTTCCTACGTTTTCTTGTATTTTGCTTTCTAAATTTTTTTTTTTTTGTTGCAGGACCGAAAAGAAATGTCGACGGAGTCGTACGATTACGAAGATGCCCTTGAAAGACTAGGAGAACTTCTCAGGTACACAGTCTCAGTGATATACAAACGTAGATCATTGCCCCCATATGGCCATATTCTTGACTTTGACCCATTATTCCTGGGTACAGATAAAACTCTGTCATTTAAATTGTGTGTTGTAAATTTGTAATATGAAAAAGGTAAATTATCATTGCAGTGATAAATCGGATATCGGGAACGTGGCGGTCGCAAAGATCAAGAAGTTATTTTGTGAGCTAGAGGAACATAAATCCAACAAGTCATCAGATGCCAAAGAACGAATCCAATCCGGATTTATCCATTTCAAGACCCACAAATTTTTGTACGTTTAATTCCTAAATAACTCCGTATCGAACTGTTCATTTCAATATCAAACATATTCCACATCCAAAAATGCAAAAACACACATGTTACCATGCAATTTTCTACAACAATGGTTTATACTAATTTTGTCCCACCAGTTTGGCTAAATAAGCATTTTAGACAATTTTATTATTATATGTTGGCCAATAAGACCACCTTTTCCCCTACACATGACATAATAAAAGTGCTTATAAATACTTTTATTATTTTAATATAGTTACTCTTATAAGACGGAAGAAGAGTTTCTTTAAGTTATGGATGCTTTTTATGGTGGTAGTTGACAAAAAAAGAAGTTATGGATGCTTTTTAATGTGTATTGGTTAAATAAAGCTTGCTCGTTATATGATTGGTTTCATCAATTTCCAGGAAGAAACCTTCGTTGTACAATGCACTTGCCAAGAGCCAGGACCCCAAGGTTTTAATTATGCTGATCTGTTTTATTACAATATTTGTCCTCCTTTGGGGGCTTCCTTCTTTCGTTTCATCTTTCTCTAATCCGCCAAATACAGTATGAATAGAACAATATGATTAGTCCAGTAAAGATAATATGAACTTTATGGGCAAGCTACAAAAGAAAACTAAAAACCCTAAAATTAGAAAGGACGGTTAAGAGTGTTTGATAGTTATCCTTTTACAAGTGATAAAAATTATTTTGCAGTTTCTGGTGTTTGCTTGTTCGGATTCCCGAGTTAGCCCTGCTCACATCTTGAACTTCCAACCTGGGGAAGCCTTTGAAATTAGAAACATTGCAAACATGGTTCCACTTTTTGACAAGGTTCGTCCAATATTTAAATGCCTTTCTAATTATCTCTACACAAACATCACAAGTTGTTGTTAGTGGTTAAACAACATAAGCTATGTCTTTGGAAACTTGCAGACACAACACTCTGGTACTGGTGCGGCTATGGAATATCCAATTACAAAACTCAACGTACGTGATAGTTAATTAATTGCCATGTTCGCTAGAATTGACTTTTAGAGATATTTCTTTTATCTTGCTCTTTTTGAATCGTACATGGTGGGCCATAAGATAGTGGGTGAACCTGACGTGACCTAGTTTTTACCCTGAGATACATAACGTTATGTTTTCATTTTAAGGTGGAAAACATTCTGGTGATTGGTCACAGCCGTTGTGGTGGAATAGAGGCACTCATGTCCATTGAAGATGATGCAGCTCCTAATAAGAGGTAACCATACTCAAAACGCTAATGTAATCTAATATCTTTAACTACATGAACAAGAATGAGACATTTTCTTGGGCGATTCATTGAAATTCTTTGAAATGGCAGCATCTTCATAGAAGACTGGGTCAAGATCGGTACAGCGGCCAAGAACAGGATCAAGCAGGACTTTGGAGACCTGAGCTTCGAAGAACAGTGCAGCCTTTGTGAGAAGGTACGTAATAATTATAAAAACACACAAGATTTTGCTCTGTTTTGTCTTACTTCAAAGGTAGAAACTAAGATCACCTCTATTTTCCAGGAAGCGGTGAACGTTACCTTGGCGAATCTGTTGTCTTACCCATTCGTGAGGGAAAGAGTGGAGAAGGGTAAGCTCGCCTTAAGAGGAGCTCACTACGATTTCGTGAATGGAACGTTTGAACTTTGGGAACTCGACGTCAAGACCACCCCTGCCTATACCTTTTCTTAAGATATTACTACTTACCTTTTCTCTATGTTGCTTCTAAGTGTGTTATTGTCATATACTTGCTTCTGATTCTTGTTTATGTTTCTTGCTTCTATTTCTTGTTTATGTTTCTGTCTGAAAAAAATGAATAAGCTATAAAGAGCATTTGTTTAGTGTCCAGCTTCTTTGAGTTTATAACTCCAAACACTCTACAATCTACAACGAGGTTTAGTTTAATATGTGGAACTAGAATTTTAAAAATATTAAAATTTAAATCTAAACTTGAAATTTGAAATAAAATTAAAAAATATTTGAATTTTAGGGGTTGCCATTAAAGTTTAGATTTTATGGTTTATCGTTTAGCGTTTAGGGTTGAGGGTTTTTGGACGCAAATGAAATGGAAAGATAGGAAAATGAAATGAGAGTGAGAGGAAAATCCAACTCAGCCTTAGTAAAAATAACGTTTAAACTTACCAATACTATTATATATACGCCTTTTGGTAGTATCTACATAAAAAGCTATCTTAAACTATGGATTATGTCAAAGTAGCATTCAAGTATAAAATGTTATATTCGTCGCTATCTTCTCTTCCCTTGTAGTGTTGGTTTGTTGTAGATGTCCAATCCCATGCTTTTTTCTCATCAAATTAAATTATCATTACCTTCCTACGACTGGATCAAATAGCCTTTATGCTTTGGAACCTGACTCAGTTCCAAGTTTTTAAGGTAAGGTCCAGTGATTTTTGCATGAGCTACACAACCAAATATCTTTAGGTGCTCGATATTTAGTTTCTTCTATGTGAGATACTCGTATGGTGTTTGATATTTTGAGGATTTTGAAGGAACTCTATTGATAAGGTAAGTTGAATGTCGCACAACTTGAAATTTCCATTAAAGTTCAGTTTCTTCTTTCCACAACATGTTTTTCGCTAGGTGTGTAAGGCGTAGTTAGGTGTTTTTTAACTTCATTTTCTTCACAAAATAGATTGAAATAATATGAGATAAATATCCTCCTATTTCAGTGTGAAAGGTATTAATGGTAACCGGTTTGATTCTCCTTGCTTTCCTCAAAAATAATGAACCATTCGAATGCCTCATTTGTAACACCCCCGATCCAGATTAAGTAAAGGTCAATTAGTTTTCCATGCACCAATCAAACAAGATCATGCACGATGAACTAAATAACTTTAATCAGATCAAAGATGCTACGACCATGTGCTCAAACATTTGAACTGGGTTCCCAGATCCGATCCGAAATCCCAAGATCAAATGTCCAAGAACAGGTTTCCTAGAAATTTCAAGTTAAGGCTTTGCACCCCTAGTTTGAAACTGTTAGTTCGTCCTAGACTAGGACTAGTATCTTATGGGATCCAAGCATTTCACAAACCTTTCTTATCAAAACATATATGCATGTTTGGCCAAACCCATATCATACATATTACAAAACATACATGTTTGCAAAAGGTAGCCAATCAACACCAGCAGCTTTGTGCTTCTCCTCCAATCCTGAATGGAACCTACTAAGGGTTACCTGGAGTCTAATGATCAACAATTTTTCTCAATGAGGCAAATTCCTAACAATTAAATCATCACCCTAATATGAATCAATCATCAAAAAGCAATGATCAGTTATTTCAAAAAATATGCAAAGTAAAAAATAAAGCAATCAAGTAAACAAGCATCCACTCTTCACGAGTGGTTAGATCGTTATCGATCGTCGAGGCCTGCCTCTCGCCATTGGTTCCAATCTCGATACAAAGTCAATCTCTTATCAGTATGTACTTTAGTTTCAACCACATCAAAACATTTATGCATGTTCGGCCGATATTCAAACCCATATCATACATATTACAAAACGTACATGTTTGAAAAAGGTAGCAAATCTACACCAACAGCTTTGTGCTCCAATATTGAATGGAACCTACTAAGGGTTACCTGCAAAACAAAGAGTATTGATCAAATAATTTTCTCAGCGAAGCAAACTCCCTAACAATTAAATCACCCCCCTAATATGAATCAATCATCAAGAAGCAACTATCAGTTATTTCAAGAAATATGCAAAGCAAAAACTAAATCAATCAAGTAAACAAGCATCCACTCTTCACGAGTGGTTAGATCGTTATCGATCGTCGAGGCCTGCCTCGCGCCATTGGTTCCAATCTCGATACAAAGTCCATGTCACACCCCTTCTTGCACCCGTAGAATCTAAACAAAAAGTCTAAAAAGTCGATGGCCCAGATTACACAATTGTCGCATTATCATGCAGCCACACGGTTGGGGGTAGCTAGCCCTATTACACTGCCTTCGCATCCTGCCCATGACTAATTTTGGTAAGGTCTTGAGAAAGGCAAGGGCCTCGAGTAGACACTAATGATTATCACGACACTCCACCTGAGTATCAGACCCTCACGGATCCTTCCTAGTTGTAAGTATGTGCCTTTAATTGTTTCGCCGTTATGACATGCTCAATCATGTTATACCCTCCGAACCAAGGCCCGAACGATATAACACAATCACACAAGTATATGCAACACAACATCAATATATCACAAACATATAATATCCCTGAGCCAAGGCCCAAACGATATAACCCAATATTTTTCATAAGCATCAATCATTATTATCTAAACGCGCAACCTAACAATGCATCAACCAATACTCTTGTTTTGCAGGCACTAACCGGAACACACAATAATTATAAACCATAATTGAGACTCACCTCAACACTTAGGTGAACGTTTTGAATTGCACACACACCTATTTCGTAGTCGGCTTTGCTTTAAACTTCTATAAGGACATATCTAGAACTTTAGAAATATAAACACAGGAAGGGTCGGGAAGAAGGCTATCTAAGTTCTAACTAAAGAAGAAAATAAAAATTAAAGCTAATTTAAAAGGAAAGCTAGAGACGTGAAATTTACCGTAAGGCTCAGAACTAGCTCGGGTTTCTATGGCCATGTGTTTTTGGTATAAGAATGAGCTCAGGGAAGGCTACAGGTCGTGTATGGCAAGAAGGAGGTGTCCCTGCTTCCCAAACCAACCAATAGGAGGAAGCTTGGTGTCCAGTCACAATTTTGGCCATTTAAGCTCAGCCACCAAACCATCCATTAGGAATGAAACAACATGTGCTTAAAGGTGGTCCAATAAAGGAGAGACATATGTCAAGCAACTGAAGAATTAGCCAAAACTATATAATTTCTAAGGTTGCAGATATCCTTCAAGGAATTGATTTTAATGCTTGTGTTCTAGAGTAGCTAACTAAAACCATGTTCTTAAAATTGTGGACGGTTATGGAAGTAGGTTATGCACCATAATAGATTTCCTAGAACTAGGATTTCTAGAAAAAAAACGAGTGTTGATCTAGTTAACACTAGTGAACCAATCGATCAGCTCGCTAACGCTTGATTAAGAAAGCATCGATCGACATTAACTTCATAGCATCGATCAACGCTCGATCCTTTACAACTTCAATCAATAAACTAAACAACTACCTTTTCCAAATCTGTTTTACTTTATTACTGCTTTAAATATATTTGCCTAGCTTAATCACAACTGATCTAGAGATATATTGTGTGTCCTAGCTCCTTGTGAATTCGATCTCTAACTATTACAACTGAACCTCTTATTTGAGAGAGTAAAGTCAATTCTTTGGGTAATTTGAGTGATATCAAATTTGGCGCCATTGCCAGCGAGTTTTGATCACCATTAGATCTACTTATTTTGCTTTAGCCTAGGTTATTTTTATTTTTAAGTTTTTTCTCATAAAATTTTTTCTTGAAACTTTTTGGTGCATGTCCGACAGTACCAGAAGCAACAAGGAAAAATCATTGTTATTCTCAGATCATGTACTCTTAGAACGCACAATTGTGGAAACCAAAATTCGCACAGTCGATTTCCATAAAATAAAGAAAGTTAGGAGCTCTAATTTCCAAGAGATTCCAGATTCTCTGCAAGAATCCGACGACAAGTAACCAAATAAATGCAAAAATACAAAAAAGATTACAAAACAAATTTATAAAGAAAGTAGATCTTATTTCGAATCCGCGTAAGAGCGTTGCGATCATTAGAAAATGTTATAAAAGCTTCGGCCGCAAGAGCTGTCAGCGAATTACCTAGTTCTAGCAACTTGAAACCTTAAACCTACTTGAGTTGCAGTTCGATAACAAAATACGAAAAAGATGAAAAAGTTTTGATTGATTTCGGACTGAACGTTATGAAAGGCTCCTATGTACCCCTTTCGAGAATGATCAAGCCAAACGTAGTTCAATGGAAAGAGCTGGACAAGAGATCGAACCGCCTGTGCAAGTTCGTCTAGTAATTGAGTGCCAGTCATAGAAACCAAACTTGTCGAGACTAAAGCCTAAGGTTTCTAAGTGCAGAGAGTTCTAAGTCTAAAAAGTTCTCTTTTGCTGTCTTCCTTGACGTCCTCTTATATACTCCACTTAAAGTCGGTCTTGACTTTCCTTTTCCGCTTCTGGGTCGAGTTTATCTTCCTGCGGAAATATTCCGTTTTATCAATCTTCATGGTTATCTTTGGAAACTTAACATGTATCTTTCAAAATTGACATTTATCCTCTAATGCGAGTAGTAGATAAATGGTCATGTAATTCTTGGGCTAGACTTCATTAAAAATCGTAAGTGGGCTTTTATCGTGTTATAGAACCTTTCAGGCCATTTTACGACTTTAAGTGTTTGTACGACTTTAAGCGTTTGTACGACTTTCGAAGACATTGTCCTTGATACGACGCTGGTTTTTGAAAAAACCACCTCCAGATCATCTTCCATCCGAAGAACCCCCAGAAGTAGACGAGTCTGTGCTCACATAGATTATCTTTTCGAGATGGCGACGACGAGCTTGGTTAGTCGCAGTGCGACTACCACCAGGACGATTCCCACAGATTCTATTGATTGAGTCGGAACCGTTTGATTCTCAGCCACCGGAAGAGCAATAGCCAGCGGTTGAGCCGGAATCCTGGGAAGTCAAACATTCGACATCGAGAAAAGTGTAGGACCACAGGGAGATT